TGGAAAGATGCATTAGAAGAAAAGATTGTTTCATGAAGATTCACCATCTTTCCACTTCTAGCCATATACTGTTTACATTTTTTCTTTGATTTGGTCATTGCTGCACATTAATCCAGAAAGTAACTTAATTGGTCTAATATATTTTAAGGTTTGAGATGGATGCATTTTCAGGGAAAAAAATAACTGTTTACTTCGGTTTCAGAGAATGGTATGTAGTGTCATCATAAGATTATTTCCCCATCCCAAAATTTATTTAAAAAAGAAAGTTTAATTTCATGTGTAGTGGAAGCTGTGCCAACAACGACTAATTTTATTTTTGAAGTGTAAAAATATAATAAAGTAGCCTGGTCTAAGCATAATATGTTTTGCCTCCTTCAAACCGTATTATTTAATGTAAACCCTTCCTAAATTCCATTAAACTGAGTATAATTTTGCAGGACAAAATGTTTCTATGTAAACATAAAATAAAACTAGAAACTGCATACTTAGCATGTGAGAGTATGTCTTCACTGCAGAGTTAGTCCAGGCTCTTACTTGCATATTGCACCAACACCCTTCCCATCGTCAGAAAAATCCACGGATCCGATTTTAGTGGTTCTTTCAACACGAGCATCCTGTCCTGGTGTACAGGCTATAGCTTGAATGCTGTTTTCACTTGGGCTGGTAACCTACTTATTTTGCAGTGAGGATGCATGCTAAACCACTCTAGTGCTGATAGTCCTTCAGTGCCTTCCCACAATTGCCCCCTGCGTGCCCCGAAGGACAGGCAAATTCTCCCACTGTTCATTGGGACTCAGAGTGACTCAGCTTGCTGCATCACAAAGAGCCATGGGATATGACCTCAGAAGTCCTAGCAAGTGCAGGACACAGTAACTTGGGTAGGACTTTGCAGTGCGACTGTTCCCACCCATGCTAGTCTGATCTGGGTGCCCAGACATGAATGCGATGACCTGGATTAACTCTGCAATGAAGACATACTCTGAGATGTGAAGAACACTGAAGACTGGGCTCATAATTCGATTTAAGTGGTTGCCCAAAAACATTCCTATAGGCATCTACCTATGCTCATCTATCCTTACTCTTCTCATACTGGTGGAAGTTACTTTGACTGCAATCAAATGAATAGACCCAGTTCTGCAAATACTTACACAAGTGCTTAACTTTACACATGTGAATTATACCATTAACTTCAGTGGGAATACTTATGTGTGTCAAGTTAAGCATGTGCATAAGTATATGCAGAATTGAGGCCTAAAGATATGTCTTCACTGCACCTTTAATATGGGTAATTGGCACCTGTGTTAGCCTAGTCCAGGTATGAATGTCATCACTGTTCTTGTATTCAGCCGTGTGTGCCTTAGGAGTTTATCCCTTGGTTCTCTGTGGCGAGAGACACTAATATTATTTCACAGTCAATTGCATCAGTTGTGGGAGAACTTGTCTGTCCTTCGGGGGGATTGTGAGACTGGCACAGTAGTGTTATCAGCACTTGAATGGTTTTGCCTACATCCTCAGCGTGAAGTGGGCAGGTTTCGGCCTAAGGTAAACCAAAATTGGGTTCTAACCAGAGAGGCCATATTGATCTCAAGTTTCTGGGCCTATTACCCTCAAAACTGAACACTTGTCTTGTGAATTATCCATTATACCAGTACCTTTAATTATGGCTTCCAATAGATCTTTAACAATGCATGTCCTTAAAGTTGCATTTAAACCATTATGGCAGCAGTCCTGAGGCTGAAAAGATTCCAGAGCTTTCATACTCCCAAACACCTGTGCTGAGCCACCTCAGTAGACTTACTTAAAACCAAGGTAACACTGTTTATAGAGCTGAAGTCCCAGGAGAGCTGAAGTGCTGGGAGTGGAAGAAAATTTCACTCTAGTTCCTGACTTTTGTGCATGAGGAACCATATACATCATAGCCTCTTTCCTTAAAAATGCAAATTGACCCAAGTGTTACAGCTGGTTAGTACAAGGGACAGAAATAAATGGTGGAAAAGATGAAGAAAAGACATGCTACAACTTCGAGATCAGTGATTTTTTTTATTTTAAAAATACAGGTTCCACCATATTACTATTATTTCTCAGACAGAACATGTCCCAGAGTTCTGTACGTTTTGGGTTAGAACAGTGGTTTTCAAACTTTTTGAGCTGAGGCCCCCCTGCCGCCCCCTTTGAGTTACAATCTTTGGTTGCATTCCCCCAACCCAGACAAAAATAGATACAATACCTGCCCCCTCCCCCTTTGGGTTTTCAGGGTGGGGAATGGCATGTGTGATGGTCTCTGGGGGCGGAGCCAGTGCTGGGTGCAGAGGCTTCCGGGAGCAGAAATCGGTGTGGACACGGTGGACGTTGACACTCACTGGCTTGGGTGGCTCATTGAGGTGAGTCAGGAGGTGGAGGTGGTGCTGCTTTTCTGAGTCCCGTCCTGTGGGGCAGTGGGTTGCTGCTCCCCCCCAAATGTTCCTCTGTGCCGCCCCAGTTTGAAAACCTCTGGGTTAGAAGATGATGGTAAAATGTTTTCAGTGGAACTTGAGTCAAATATCTGGACTGTCTGGGTGAATTTCTAGGCTAACTTAAATGGGACCAAGATTTTACCCCCATCTTTTCCCTGTCTGCTATTGAAGATGGACTTGCAAAGCCCTAGCATAGTACCTAAAATAGATAGGTGAATCATGGCTCCCTGAGGGCAAAGTGAAAGTGTTGCTTGTGTGTTGTCTGTTTCCCAGTTCTTATACGAAAAACAGAATTCAGGAGGATTTCCCAGATCTCTTTAGCTGGTAGCTTTAGGCTCTCCAGATTACTCTCATTACAGAACAATACTCTGTCTTAGGGATGTAGTTACAGAAAAATTCTAGGGATGAGCAATACCTCTCACGTTGTTTACAAAACTCATTTTGCAAAATGTAAAGCCCTTGTAGGATGGCTGCATGGATATCCCCTAATTCGTAAAACGCATGGTCTTTTGTGTGATTGGTGCATTACAAAGGTGAAAAAGTTTATTCCTCCTAAAAGTACTTTTATTGTATGTAATGTGCTCTTTTTCCTTGGGCCTCAATCCCCATTTTACCCCTGGATAAGTGCAAAGTGGAAAACCCAGAAGTCCTGTGTACTGAATGAACTTTAGCAACTAATTCCACTTGATCTTCTCCCCTGCTCTCCCAGCCCCATGAACACATCTTTTACGATAAAATGCAAATGAACAAGCAAGCTAATCTGTAAATAAATCATATGTATTTGCTTTATACAAGTGAGGTGGTAGCCACACAAAGCCTGACTAACTGTTGTGCCGTTTGTGTATATGCAGCTTGTGGGGAGGTGCAGTCCATCTTTCCAACCAGGGGCTGAGGTGTGGGGGTTTCATTGTGTACCACTTGTGCAATGTGCATGGTCCCAACAATGAAGTTCCTGTGGCGCCTCCCCATTATACTGTCCAGTAAGGCTTGAGATTCGATGCTCAGTGGGTACAGCAGAACTGCCGTATGGCAGGTTTGCCTGCAGCCCTTCCAGTTTCAAAACACATGAAAAGGCCATTGTACTGGCTTCCGACACCAGTCTGCATGCTTTCTAGGTACTCATCTAACCCTCTTGTTATAGCACTGTTCATTGAATTTGAAGTTGGGTTGTTGAGGAAAACATTTTGAATACAGCAATATGATGGTGTGTATAATTTAATGACAAGGGATTTACTTATTGAAAGAATCTGCAGTTTGAGAAAAATCTCGGCGGACATTAACGTTTGTATCTGCTTCTATTTCTCAGGCAAGTAAAACAAAACTGCTTAATTAAACAATAGAAGAAACTTCCTGATGGGAAGGTGTTTTATACTGGGGAATAGTTATGCAAGGGAAGGAGGGAAAGTCCCACTCCTTGTGACATTTAGACTGAAAAAGAAGCTAGAAAATGTACTGGAGGGGAGCAATTTGCTTTCCCCTCCCCTCCCCCTCCCCCCCCGCTGTTTGTCCTGCTCTGTTCTAGTTTTGGCTCTACATCTTTTTTGTTCTGCCTTCAAGATTTTTGCTGATCCTGCCACCCTTCTTGTACTACACAGAATACTCTTGGTGAGCTGTAGAAAAAGCAACCCTTTTTCTGCTCTTTTGTTTCTGTTGGCACACAAGGGGTTATTTGTGGGTTTCTCGCTCTCACACTGGAGAGGGAGAAAGAAGGGGTGGAGCTCAGACTTGTAGTGTAACTAGATATGAGACCAGCAGTATAAACTGACAGCTGAAAGAAATCACAGATTAAGCCAGCTGCTGACAATGGCTGGCCCAAAGACTCTCTTAGTGTTGGAGAACTTCATAAATGGTAAATTTGTCCCTTGTCCCTCCTACATAGACTCTTATGATCCATCCACAGGAGACGTGTATTGCAGAGTACCAGACAGTGGCAAAGAAGAGGTGAGTACAGCAGCTTCACTAACAGAAGGCGAAGAAAAAATGGGAACATAAATAACATCAGTGAAGTTGTTTGTGGGGTGGAAGGTGGAGAAATCAGGAAGAGGATTGTCCTAGTGATTAATTGTTTATATTTAAATGAATGAGTTCTTAACATTACTACAAGGCCAGGTAATATTGCTCCGGGAACAAATCCTTTTTGTCACACTGTTCACTATTAAAAGCTATGGACCAGGTCCTCAGCTAGTGTCAATCAGTGCAGCTTCAATTACTTCACTGGAGGTTTGTCAATCACACCAGCAGAGGATGGAGTCTTGCAGAATGCAGGTTGAAGGCAATGGTCACATCAGCAGTTTGCAGATGACAACACTGGAGTCAGGAAAAAAGGGGCTGTTCATCCCCCCTCCATGAACAGCCCTGGATACACTGTATCCAGATGAATAATTTCTCCCTTAATAGCTTTAATTTCTACTACTCTTTCAAAGGACTTTGCACACCGGGGCTCTTTCCATGAGACAGGATCAAAATCTCACAGCCTTCCTGAGGTTTGATCTCTGCAGATGGATGTTGAGCGTTTAGAACTTTGATATCGCAGGCGAAAAGGTAACAAATCATTTTAGTGCAGCTGCATGAATGTGATTTCTTTACAGTGCAGTAGCCTGCTCCAATCAACGAGAGCAGAAATGCAATATTTCTTTTCAGCTCTGCAATTTAATCTTTGCTGCATGTTTTTTGCCACATCAATTGTTAGGGCAACGAGACACTCATATTGGAAACTGCCATTTACTTTATGGCAAAGTATTGTTTATAAGCAACAAAGTTAGAGGTGTGTACAATGTAATGCACTGGGTTCAGCGAGGGGACAGATGAACAGAAAGTTATATTACACTCCAAGGGCTTTCAAAATGTTGACTAATAAGTGCTCAATATTGTTTCATTTTCAGAATAAGTGGTCTTTTTTAAAAGACTTTTTACTGTACATGAATCTCTTTCACATATGTATCAATCATGTTGATCTCATTTTCCTTTTTCAGCAGAAACCTTTAGCACCATAATTTTGGTTGGGTAAATATTTGCCAGGTGCTGATAACTAATGGTTAAAGTGTAACCAGGCTGGCTTTGCTAGAATATGCTTAATGTAAAATCATGTCAGTCCAAAACCTCTTTGTGCTCGAAGAATTGTTTCTTTCAAGCATAAACACTACATGGGTCCCCATTCTGTTTATTCACATAAGTAGACGCACAAATAATTATAACAGTAACAGGGAGATTTGAGAGCATGCCAGAAGGACCTAACAAAAATAGGTTGAGGCGTCATAGCAGGCTAAATTCTAGATCTTGAAGTGTACGGTAATGCATATTTAAAGAAACACTAACTTCTCATTCAGTTTTCTGAGTCAGCTGCAGCAAACACCTTAGGAACTATACTTAGGCACCAATCAACTTAGTGACGTTTTCTGCTTAGGCCTGTGGGCTGCTGAACAAAAGTGGGGGGGGAGGCTCTACAAAGCTGGGAGTTAGGGGAGGGTCTAAAGTCCTCCAGTGGAAAATGTTGAAATACCAGGTGCAGTTGCCTGCATTTTAGGAGAGATATTAAGACATTTAAAAATGAAAATAAGCACCTACAGTATTAGAATTCAGTACTGGGTCAGTGGCCATATGAGTAGGGCTATTCACATGCATAAGGGTTCGCAGGATTGGGCCCATATTCCCCACTGGACATGCGCACATATAAACATTCAAACAGCCAAAATCAAACTTAACCCTACTAAGTAGGTTATTCCCCCTCATTCACATACAGGAACACTGGTTCCCATGGACAACTAGGTCTGGCAAAACCCCTTTATCCTAAAGGATCTTGTCCTCCTACAATTCCTGATGGAGAGAAACAAATTTACTTTACCGTGTGTACTTTGGCTAACATTTTAACATCCCGCTTTTTTTAAATTGTGCTTTCTCTCTGGTTTTTAGTCTGTTACTTCTATTTTCTTATATGGAGGAGGAGGGCAGGGGAAGTATGTATGAAAATAAAAATAGGTTTATCATTACATTTTGATTACACACATTGTCTTTCTTGGCTCAATTGTTGTTGTTTTTCCCTTCTCTCTCTCTGATTCTTTCCCTCAGTCAACTTCAGTCTATTTTCTCTATAACTCTTTGCATCTTCCCGCTCACTGTATTTCTACCTCCGTACCTCTTCTTCCTTTTCCTCCTCTTCCTTTTTGTTTTCTCCTTAGACTAATTCCCTTCCATTTCCTTCTCCCCATCTCTCCTCCTTGCCCCTACATTTTTTTTCTTTTCCTCAGGCTGTCTTCCCCTCTCGGCCTGGGAGAATCCCTCTGTAGTGCTCGCACCCCATCCCTATAAAAATCACCAAAATGTTCAGGGAGAGGGGAATCTCTGGCTGCTACATGAGGCAATTCGTTCTGGATCAAGCAGCTTCCTGTTCTGATGAGCTACTGCACTGCGGCATACAACATGGTGTGGAAGTGGCAGCGAAAAGAGGAAAGGGAGAAGCAGCCACAGCAGCAGGATGGCACCTAGTGGTGGAAGGGTGAAAGAGTAGGTTATTTTAAAAAAGGAGGTGGAGGTGGGTCAATGCAGTCAAATGAATAGGGAGTCCTGAGCCCTGTGTTCTGTTCCTGGCTTAGCCAGTGACCTGCTGTGTGACCTTGTGCAGGACACTTCACTTCTCTGTGCCCCTATTTCTTCCAGCCTTTGTCTCATCTATTTAAATGGTAAGCTCATCACCTCACCATAATGTGTGAAAAGGAAAGATATGTTAGAGGGGACTTTGATCTGAGTGACACGTGTTGAATCCAGTCCGCAGCTATGCAAGCAGTAGTAAAACACCATTAGATTTCATAGAAGATAATTTCCTAACATAAACTGTATTGCACCCAACCCAAGGCAATTCTATTTTGGACCTCATCATGACAGATAAAGATAAATTAATCATAGGACTGGAAGTTAGTGGTTACCTTGATACCAGTGATACTGACCTGATTACATTCAGTATGGGCAGAGAGAGCAGTCCCAACCTGTGTGCGCGCGTGCACATGCCTTTAAAAAGGGCTAATTTCCTAAAGCCGAGGGAAATTGTTTGGGAAGAAAAATATAGACAGAAAAATGTGAATGAATATTGGGAACTCTTTAAGAATAGTTGATTAGATGGCCAAAAGTCATGAGTCCCCAATCAAGAAACGAAGCCCATTCTAGTTCAGTGCCAAAGTGAAGGCAGTAATTAGAATAAAAAAATCCCTTATAAGAAATGGATAAAAAGAGAAATTGATAGCAGTCAATATAAATTAGAAGCTATGAAGTGTAAAAAATAGAAAAGGGAAGCTAAAGACACCAGGGAAAATTCCATGGCTGGCAAAACTAAGGACAATAAGGAATTTTTATATATACTAGGGACAAAAGAAATCCTATAAAAGGTATACACTCATTACTATATGGAGATGGTGAAATTGTTGATTCAGAAATATATTTTTTGTATTAGAAAAGAAGCAGGATATCATGTACTTATATCGTGAGGATGATGAACAAAGGATAATGAACAACATTATTAACAAAGGAGGATGTTAAAAACATCTGTTAGGGATAAACATTTTAAAATCAGCAGATCTGGATTCATTGCCCCCAAAAGGGCTAAAAGAATTGGCTGAATAGATCTCTGGCCCGCTGATTTTCATTTTTATTATTGTGACAGTGTACCCCATAAGGCTTTATGGGGGGGCGGTGCTTATAAATGTATGTGTGATATAACTGGAATATGTTTTGTGCTGCCTGTGCCATGTAATATATCTCCGTAAAGATTATGGTCTACTGTATCTATTCATCCTATTTGTACATATATATCATTTTCTACTTGAGGTTAAGAATATGGGCTGTATGCTTGCTTGGTTTCTAAGTAAGCTTTGTGAGGCATTTGGTCAGCTTCTTTAGGAAGGAATTCGCCAGGTTAAGTACCTGATCAGGAAACACTAGGGGAACAATGACAGGTTTCAGAGTAGCAGCCGTGTTAGTCTGTATCCGCAAAAAGAAGAACAGGAGTACTTGTGGCACCTTAGAGACTAACAAATTTATTAGAGCATAAGCTTTCGTGGACTACAGCCCACTTCTTCGGATGCATCCGAAGAAGTGGGCTGTAGTCCACGAAAGCTTATGCTC